ATACTGTATTGCAATAATGGATAATGTACCGCCGCTGTTTCCAATGCTGTTTACAACCTCCAATAACCTTAAGGCCCTGTTTACACTAATGCGCTGTAGCAATATGCGTTAGGGTGCCATTCAATAGGTTGCGGTGCACCACAATGCACGGTTTCACACAGTAATGGATTGCAGTGTGTTGCATTACAAAAAAGGGTCACATGTGATTTTCAGCATGTTAGGGTGCGTTGGCAGCTCATTCATTGAAATAAACTGTTGCATATGTTAATGCACCACAAAGAAGCAAATGGGCCACCCAGTTGCCTGACTGACAGCTAGCTCTGCCTCTCTAGAGCCAGTGCCAGCTGTGCCCACTCCTCCCCTGTCTGTCCCTCCAATGAGCAATGGAGGATCAGAGAAGGGAGTAGGGATTCCCTGCGGGGGGTAATGACTGTCAGTCAATGCTTTCTGCAAAGAGAAGACCATGAGCTGACCGATCACTGGTTGGTGATCACTTAGCTCTCAAGATTTAGAGCTGGCATGTGACACCTGCAGGGTACCACGTCGTAGCAAAACAGAGGAGAAACTAGAAACCTCAGGTGTCACATACCGGCTCTATATCTTGAGAGCTAAGTGATCACCAACCATTGACCCCACCACGGGAGGGAGCTGCGGAGTGTTGGCCTGCTACATGCTGGGAGGCAGCCTCGGGGATTGCCAGGGCCTGGCCCTCTTCTTCCTTTCCAGGCGCCCCCCTCAGGAGCTGGAACACCAGGGCTGGCCACACATACGACTGTTGCGACCATGGTAGTTCTGCCAGTGGCTCAAAGTTTTGGGAGGAGTACATTTCACTCTCTCAATACTTCTCCTTTACTCCTTATTAACCTTTAGTTTACCCAGATCTACCCTAATGAATTCCTTCTTCCCCTCAACTATTATTTTCCTGGGTTTTTTTGTTGCTATTTCTGTTTTTCTAACCATTTAACATTTAACCTTTTTTCGTTTTTATTTGTTTGTTTATTTTATTTTTTTTAGTGTTGCATTATAAAACAAATGTAAAAAAAATAAAAGCCTGTGAACAGCTTTGCAATGCTTTCTACCAGAATTACAATTTAAGTGCCATTTTAAACAGGAAAAATGATAGAATACAATGTATAATTTTATATCTACAGTAACAATATTTATTTTTTAAACTAACAATCTTATCAAACTAGAAAATAATCCATTTTGACACTTTTGTTATTTTTTTTGTCTATGGACTGCATAAAAAAAAAATAATATCAGCCAAAGAAAACCTTGTTTACGCTAAAGGAAAACCATCTATGTATTACTTTGTTATCTTAAGCAGATCTTTACCCCCTTTTAATAAAGAATATCAGAAGCCTGCAGCTCTGCATGCTGATATTATATCATTTCATGTTCCAGAGGTTGGCAGACTCGGCCCTCCAGCTGCTGTAGAACTGCAAGTCCCATGGGGCATTGCTAACACATATACATTTTTTTCACATCTCAAGTGTGATATACCATCAAACAATAACAAGTCATCTGCCTATTGTAAATAAACACTACAAACACAGTACACAAACCCCACCATGTTTACAGAAATGTGTGGAGACCACCACCGAGAGATACTCTCGAGCTTAATGGGCCATAAAGACACAAATGGGCTTTAGAATAAAAATGATAGAATGGTGTTGGGGGGGCGGGGAGGGTTGGACTGTTCAGGTCGGAGCACCTAATGCTTTTCTCATATACAATAAATGATCAAAAACAGCAAAAGTGTAAAGTTAAAGCAGCTACAAGTACACAAATATATCACAGACCTTCTCCGCTATTATCTACCACATTGTATCCTTTGTTTAGATACATTTATCATTTTTAGCTACAAAGCAAATCTGAGCAATAAATGGAATTAAAGTTCATCTGAGCCCGAGGACTGAACTCTCATATAATCATTAAAAGAGAACTATGAGGTAAGTGTTTTCCCCCCTAGTTCTCTTAAGGCCCCATTCACACGTAGCGACATACCTTTTGCAGCGGCCAGGATAGCGCGACTTTCGGGGCGACGTTCCAGCGACGGTAGCGCGACCTTCTCCGTCGGGCTCCATTAGAAAAAAGCAAAATCGCGCAAAATCCGCCGAAAAAAGGGTCCTGTAGAAGCGACTTGCGACCGCCACATGGAGCTAAGACAGCTCCATTGAATATCATTAGCCGCCAATCAGCCGGTATCATTGCGGCGATAAATCGCTACGTGTGAATGGGGCCTTAGGGTCACGGGAGGACATATACTAACGTCCTCCCGTGACCCAAAGCTCCGTATATCGCGGGGCAATATCCCGACATTACTGTTGAGATCCTCCCAGCTGCATGAGTGACAGCTGGCTCTGCCTATCTAGAGGCAGACCCAGCTGTACCCGCCCCCCTCCCGGTCCGTTCCTCCACTCAGCGCTGGAGGATCAGAGAGGTGAGGTGGGGGGAGGAGAGGGGGGAAATCCCTGGGGCAGCGGTAACTGACAGTCACCGCTTGCTGCAGGGAGACGATCGGGAAGTAAGCAGATCAGTGGCATGTTTCTGCTTACTTTCCGATCGAGCCTGGTATGGTGGAAGGGGGCGCTTGCTCGTCCCCCCCTTTCATGCCCTGCCAGGCTGCTGCCCTGATTAAGGGTGTGGTATGGGATTTTATGGGGGACCCCATTTTTTTTTAACTTTTTGGGCGTTGGGGGTCCCCATTAAAATTCCTACCACACCTAAAGGATCGGGTATAAATTGCCAGGGAACCACCACGCTGTTTTGTTTTTACATCAGGGGTCCCCCGCAACATTCCTACCTAAAGGGTCTGGTAAGAATTGGGGGGGGCACGCTGTTTTTGTTTTTTTTTGTGGTGTCCGAAATTAAAAAGAAACATGTAATGACACTTTTCTGTAATAAATTACAGTTGGTAATGATCATTTAACTCATCCGAGATTAATGAAATGCCGAAGATGCCGAAATGAATTGACTTTCAGACCCCAAACAACGAAATAACAAAACATCCGAAACAAAACAAAACGGAACTAAACAAGTTTTTTTGCTGGCTTACATATCTAGTTCCGGTCACGTCTCTCATCCTTTCAGTCATGGATGTTCAGCAATACAGACAAACATTACCTAGGGTGACCTGCATGCAAATGGAACACCCACTGCTCCAGAATGACATCCGCCTATCAAGGCAAAGACAAATCTACTAAAAATTGTGCCCCCCGGCATCCCACCCAGCTCCTGGCAACGAGTGACGGCACTGGTTGCCAGGAGTTGGACCGGACATTGGCCATTTTTATGTGCCATACCCTGGATTTTCCACTGTATCAAGACATTTTGATATATGCATAAATCCTCCCAAGAGCCAGCCCGCTGCTTTCACCAAGGCTCTTGAGAGAAGCACTGAGGTAGGGTGCTGTGATGTATTCAGCAAGATTTATACATCACCCTGCTGGGTACGCTCACTAGCCATGATCTGCCTGCATTGCTTATGGAAGTACAGAGACCCGTTGATGACATCACTGGATCTAAAATAATAAATGTGATAAAAAAGGAAATTTGGTTTAAAAACGTAATTGTCATGTATACATAACTTATAGCAGGGTTTTTAACCCTTCCCCCATCCATTTGAAACTGAAAAAAATGTTTTGGGTATACTATTTAACCACCTTCTGTCCATGGCCGTTTGTGAACGGCCAGACGGGAGTCTGCTAGGAGTGGGAGGGCGTCCTGCCCCTCCCCCCTCTCGTGTGCGGTGCTCAGCGCGCACACGAGAGGGAAAACTGAGAGCATGTAAACAGCCAGCGATGGCTGTTTACATACAAGCGATCAGGCGTCTCTAGATATGCCCAATCGCTTGAAGGAGCTGCGGGTGTGGACCCCCACCCCCGCACCCCAAGAAAAAAAAAGCATTAAAAAAAATAAAGCTAAAAAAAATATTCACAAATAATAATAAAAAAATTACACAAAAAATGTTTTAAAGTCCCCCGCCCCCCATACACACGCAAACATGCTTCGGGTGCGCCTATGTACGAAAACGACGATTGCGCCCATTATGTCGCACATGTTACATATAGCCGCGAACGCCGGAGTGAGAGCAATAATTGTAGGGCCATCAATCCCTGATAACACTAAACTGATGAGCGGTAAAAACTTTTAAAGCGTCGCCTATGGCCAATTTTGGTTGCGGTCATTTTCTGTGATTTTGCACGCGCGTACAATTTTAAAGCTTGACATGTCTAGTGTCTATTTACCCGACATGACCCCGTCTTTTATATTGTACCAAAAAAAATGGGGTGATAATAAATGTTTCATAATATTTTATAGGGAAACATGTTTTTTTTTCACAATTTAGGGTACTTTTTTTGTTATATAGTAAAAAATAAAAACCCCAGTGGTAATTAAATACCACCAAAAGAAAGCTTTATCAGTCCCCAAAAAATTGTATGAAATTTGTTTCAGTACAGCGTTGCATGACGGAATAAACGTCAGTCAAAGTACCGCAGCGCTGAATACTGTAAAATGGCGTGGCAAGGAAGGGGGTGAAACAACCTGGGCTTCAAGTGGTTAAACATGTATGCATGAGGTTATTAGTACCGTAGTATTACTCAAGTTGTGCAAGAATTTTTAACAAAATACAGAATACAACACTTATAAAGCACGTTCAAAGCAATATACATGCAATTATGTAAATTAGACACGGCGTATTTCTGATCACATTATGATTAATCTGTATAACTCAATACATCGTGCATCAGCAAGGCGGCTGCGACCCAGGAACACGTGACCCCGCTCCCCTCTCATCCACCAGCAGCGGCAGAGACCGCGCCTGCGCACTGCGGTCTTTACGGCTCTTCCGCCAACCACCCCCACGCGTGCGCACTGCGTCCCTCGTCTCCTTCCGCCGACCGAGATGCACCGCGTGCGTTCCAGTCAGCTGTTTCCGTTTCCGCTCTTCGCTAAGTCAGCTTCTCTGGTGTGTTCTCGCTGTGCGGCGGCGGTGGTTGGCGCTTGTTGTTCGAGATGGCGTTAGAGAAGAAGCCTCAGGTGGACCTGGGTCTACTGGAGGAGGATGATGAGTTCGAAGAGTTCCCCACGGAAGGTGAGCGGAGGGGAAGGCCGCCATGACTCAGGAGTATTGGAAGGATGTCTAGGCCTGAGGAGGAGGCGAAGGCCGCAAAGAGCTGTGTGTTATATATTCCCTGTACAGGCAGCCCAGAACACCTCAGCCTGCTGACAAGGACTTACAATGCAAGATCCGCTTATTAAAGTGAAGTTGTAGCCCAAACATTATTATTAGTAGTATTGGTTGGAACTGGGAAGAGTTCTTATACTCTTATTGTCCCAATGGAGGGATTTTCCTTCACTTCCTGTCTTGGTGACTCAGCAGGAAGTTAGAGGAAGTCTTCCAAAGTGAGGGGAGATTTCGTTCTTAGGCCTCACTTCATCTCTGCAGTAAAAGAGCTGTAAAAACCGCCACCCCACAACTAGGTTGGGTTCCCCAGTTCATCCAAGCCCGCTTGAAACTCTGACCGTCATTCCTTTCACCCTCCCCGGCCCAATTAGTTGCAGAGAGGCGCATTGCCCGCCCTATTGATATATGTCACAAAGGGGTGGGGAATTGCCGCGCTCCCACTGATTGGGTCAGGAGGAGGGTGTGGCGGACACAGTTTAGAGCGAGATTGGGTGAACTTGGTTAGTACCAATCCCATACTCAACTCTACCACCCACCTAAAACCCAACATGGCGGCTGCTGGAGACTTGTCACCCAGAACCGGGGGCAGAATTTAATGCTGAACTTCAGGTATACATATTTATGTAAGAAAAACATTTTATTAACACTTGAAGTGAGGCTACCCCCTGCACTGCCCCCAATACCCCCCC